GTCATGGATTTCATATGTATTTCTAAATAATAATATACTTATATATGTACAGTATATGTATTGTATCCGTTACCCTGGTATCCCATAACACAAGCCTTACAGTGCTTACTTTGGGGCTAGGCTGATTGGTGTGTCTTTAAAAAAAAAAAGATATCTAAAAACGCCCATCTCTACCCGCCGCTGCGGCGGCATGTTCACAACCATGCGATTTTTTCGAAAATTTTACCACGTATGACAAAAGTGTGGAATGTTTTGTCGCTAGCAGTGTTTCCAGACCAATACCGCCCGAAAATCTTTAAAAAAAGAGCGAACACCTTAACACCTTCCTTAAAGGCCAGCATCGCATTCGTGATACTCCTGGTGTTGCAGATGACTATGTGCGACGGTAATAACTTACCATCAGGTGAGCCGTCGGCTTGTATGCCCCCTACAAAATAAAAAAAGAATGGATCGATTTGGATAAGCTTTTTTAAAAAGCTGACATTATTTATTTTCAGATAATTTTTGGGCGTTTTTTCTAAAGATTGAAAAAACAACAATTTATCTGAAATAGTTACTTATACCTATACCTTATTTAAGTAATGAAGTTATCTTTTACTTTTTTACTTAGTTATCAAACTTTTTCTATTTAGGAAATGGCGCGCATAGCCACATGCGGGTGGTGAAACTTAGAGCCGTATCTTTCCTCTATTTTTCTTTTTATTATAGAAGTGAGACAAAAGTATAGATTAAAAGCGCTTTCAAGGAGGTTTCATCGATAGAAAAAAAAACGTAAAGAATACGCAAGGTGCCATGTAGGGAAGCGTACGGTTAATGTTTCTACGCACACTCCGTTGCCTGGCATGTAAAGTTGAAAAATAAATAATGACAGCTTTTAAAAAAGCACTGTATTCCTTTTGTTACACTGTTTCTCACTTCCCCAAAGGCCGGCATCGCGGTTGAGATACTTCTGATATTGACGATGTGTATGGGAAAACTAACAGCTTTATGCTAAAATAAAATAAAACAGAACAAACAACTTGTTCCCAGAGGTTTGTAGGTAGAATACAAATAACACAACTTTTGAACATAAATCATTTATTATATGAATGTAATAAAATTTTATATAATTCTAACTTAATTGACATCTTATTTAAATATGAATAGGAGCATTTCGACCTAATAGACTGTAAAGCAACATTTTTATAGCAACATCCATATAAAAATAGATAAATATATATTATTTGATTTAAGACAACAGTTAAAGTGATATAAATTCCCTATAGTTAAGTTATTATAAAGTAAAATCTAAATATTTTTTTTTCTGAAGATTACAATAAAGGTTACTTTAAAAATCTAAGTAAGCATTTACTAAATGCAGTTTAGTAGTAAAATAATCTAATTTTTAATTGGCACATGTCGATATTGTTGTTTAAAATCACCCTTAACTATTTTTCTGCAGAGCACAGGCTTACTCTGTAAAATTTTTAGCACTTACAAGATTTAATAATAACAAAAATATTATGTACACTACTCCGATCTCTATATAGATTTGAATATATGTACCTATATATTTTTATAATAATGATTTAAAAGGTTTAATTATAAACAGAAAGATATTAAATACTTTGTTGTAATCCTGCCCATCATATAAAATTAATTATTTATTTTTTATTATTTTACCCCTCTATTCAGAAATAAAATTTTGCGTGGCACAAACTACTACGTCAATTGTTTATGTATGAAACGAAATGCAATTATCTGAAAGGCGGTATGCTTTTAACACTTTTCTGATAACAATATGGTGATGGATAGAGCTACCAGGTGGCACTGACAAATTGATATTATTAAATAGATTTTATTATATTAGATTGATGATATTAAATATAATTTCTTATAAATTGTATATATTACCATCTACTAACAGGTGCCCGCGTCTTTGTTTGCAAGTAATAATTGGTTTTCAAACTTTAATCCCCGAGTAGGGTTACCATCCGTCCTGGAGGAGGGATTAGTCCGGACATTTCCCGACTTTTAGACTATAGTCCGGATCTTAAAGTTTGTCGGATTTTTTAAATTACATTCAATATGAATTATAAAAGAACATATTGATATAAATACCATACCATTGTAACTAAGTGAGAAATTGTACCATTTTGTGACTAAAATGTCCGGATTTTTTTCGAAATGTCAGGACTTTCGAAATTACTAATTGGTAACCCTATCCCCGAGCGGCTTGACATGATTTGTACCCGTGTTTAGGCACGGCTTTAAACCGTGTCTACGTCCGGTCGTCAGTTAAGTATGGGATACTGTGGAGGTTGTGAACGACACCGGCGCTAGCGATGGTTTGGGGTGGGTACAAACCACAAAACACAGAAAGAGGTTAGCAGGGCATTATAGGCGGGGCAGGCGCGCCATAGCTATGTGTGAGCAAATGCTCATAACTTGACTAAAACTTGAGTTTTGACTTCGTTGCTCTTGAGTGTGACCACTGATTAGTGCGATTGTTTGATGTCGCGTCTTATGATTGGCTAATATCTATCAGATGGAAGTATGGTGGGGGCGAGCCGGCAACATTGGTTCCCGTACATACGGTCTATTATCATCCTTCTAACCTCTTTCTGTGTTCTGAGGTACAAACGTACAAACCATGCTCGTGTACAATTTTAAAGTAGTTGTAAGTAAAGTAGCGAAACAGGGCGTTACCAAGCGCCCTTACTTCACCCACTTCAATTTAATATTTGCTTGTATTCTATACGAATATCGTATCTCTCCTAAAAAGTCTAACCATCTCTTGTGTCCCATCATTTTTTTCCAAACTCAATTCGTCATCTTGCCAATCATAAATAGAATAGCGAAAGTGTAACACAAAACTAACACATTCACCGAATGTTAGGATTGGTTAGCTATAATTTATTTTTGATATGAAGGAATCCATCTTACAGAGTGAAGTAATTTGTCTATCAAAATATTTTCACAACATTTTCTTCAATATTTGTTATAGTACAATAAACACACAAATGGATGTAAGATGGATTGGAACTACGATACTGACTAGAAAATTTTACGCTCGTGCAAACATACTTAACGAGTCGAGCAGCGCAAATGATGAAAACTGCAAATCTGACAGCAGAACTGTTGTAAAGTTAACGTTACGGAAATAATGAAAAAACGTTATTTCTCAGACTTTCAAAGTACTTACGTTCGGTAAGAATTAAAAAAAAGAGCTTTAATCTACGCTCTTTTCCTTAAAAACTCGTTGGCTTACAAGATTCTATCATCTCTTGCGTATAAAAACTTATGAGATTATTTTTACGCAGTCACTACCCATGTGTGTACATTAAAAAGTGACATTTTCACCGATAATCTGTGTAAAAAACTATACTTCACCAATATAAACTTATTTTCTAACCCAGTAGCTATAGTATAACGATGGAATAAGTTTCTAGGAGTCATCGTAGCGTCACGCCAGCTTGTAAAATGTAAATGTTATAGGTCGTTATGTCAGACTCGATGTTTAATTAACAGCGGAACATTTAACTCTCTGCTGTCTATCACACATACAACTTTGTCTGCGATTATGTCGTATTTAACAAGACGCGGTTCATTTTACGAAAATAATGAACTTAATACATTGAAGTGAACTAACAAAATCAACTTTAGCATAAAATGAACTTAATACATCAGAGTGAATTGATTTTTCTGTATAACAAGATTCATCGAAAGCCTTTGTAATGTGGTGTTGAGGCATTCGAGTTTTAAAAGCTTTAAATTTAAAACAAGACTTTAAATGAGTGTAACTTGAATACTAAAAAGCTTACTGACTATCATCATACCTAAAATCCCAGCCTTGTTAATTGATTAGGAAAATCGAAAATATTCAGTTTTAGAAACCGTATTTTTTCAAAAGAGATAATTTAGCTGCATTATGCGATACCTACCTACAACAATTTTCCAAGCTAAATTAGGACCCTTTGTTAATGCGATTACAATTAAAAATAGGGCTGATGGCTGACTTCTTTTCTGCGTCTGTCAGGTAGAATATAAGTAATAAAGTAAATAAGTATTGTGCGCATATTTTTTCTTTATTTATATAGTCAAGTTTTGGTATAATTTTTATTTAGAAGTGACGCCACGAGCGCCCACTCCTAAACTTTGACGCGCTTTATCTTTGTAATTTTTGGTTGATTGAAAAAGAAAAATTAGGCCTCCATTATTTTTTGATAATAATCTAACTGTCGGACGAATTTCATTTTCTTTAGCCGGTCAATTGGGTGCATCGATTTTTTGTGTAGATCCGTTTTCAGGTTGGAACATAAACTAAAACCTACTAAAGCATGTATTCTATTTCAAATCACATAGTGAGGCCTTAAAAAATATTCAAATTATATCATGTTACTATTCTATGGTCATTGTTACTATAACAATAGTTTGTTTTCATATAAAGTTCATTTAAGACTGGAAATTGTATGAATGATACAATATTTTCTTATTAATACTTTCAAATGATCCTTAAAATATCGAAGTTAATTTCTTATCACATTTTTTTTCCTTTACTAACTTACTATCTAATATTTACTAAATTTCCCTCACACCGCTCAAGTGGTTGATTCTATTGCTAAATAGGATACATCTAAGGCTAAAGTGAGAGGTTCTACTACTTGTAAGACAATAGGAAATTGTGGTAGCGACGGGAACATAATAGGATACTGTGGGACCTGCTAAGGACTTTGGGACACCAGTTTGGCTTCCGGCTCCAAGTTCCGATTCTAATACATTCAAATAATCCTCAAATACAAAGTTAATTTCTTCTTACAGTAAAATATCTTTAAATTAAAACTCATTACTTAATGACTAAATTGACCTCACGCCGCTAAAGTGGGTGGTTCCGATTCTAATACGGGCACCAAAATCCGATTCTAATACTTACAAATAATCCTCAAATACAAAGTTAATTTTTCTTACAGTGAAATATCTTTACCTACACTAAAACTTACTACTAAATAACTAAATTAACCTCACGCCGCTAAAGTGGGTGGTTCTACTACTAAATACGGTACTTGTAAGGCAATAGGAGGTTGCGGCAGCGATGGGAACAGAATAGGGTACTGCGGGGCTGGCTGTGGACTCTGTGGTACTAATCTGGCTTCGGGTTCCGAGCAGTGAAGAAGCCAATGAGTCAACATCCTCCCGCGACCTTTCAGCTCCACTTCCCCTCTTCTTTCTACCACAAATGTGCCCCATTGCTCTAGCAGTGCGCGAGTGTTCTCGCTCAAGTGAATCCTAAGTGCTATAAAGGAACAAAATATTTATTTCAATGCAGTACAAACGGGCTATTTTGTCACTCGGAGATAACATTATTGTCTTAATAAGGAAAAAGCTTAATCTGTACAAGGAATATTCTGTAGTGCCGTTAATTTCAAACAATTGTTTGGGACAATGTTATCTCTTACCCCCTTAATAACCCCCCCCCCCTTAACCCCCTTAGTAAGTAATACAATTTTATTCTTCATTTATTAACATAGGGGATAAGAGAAAAAGCCACCCGCTTTTACGGTAAGCAGATACCAAAATCTACAATAATATGAGGAGCTGGCGAACAAAACGGTATAATTACATAAAATTAAATTTTACAGGAGCTGTATTAAACTGAATGACATACATCCAGTGAGCTTTTGGCATGGTTTTTAATTTATAAATTTAGTAATTTTAACACTCTTTTAGGCGATTTTGATTGAAAATTATTTGAGATTCAAATTCAATGGGCCCGAAACCTCCGGACTGTAAAAAAAAGTAGCTTGACCAGATGCGTAATTATACCGTTTTGTTCGCAAGCTCCCCATATTATAAAGGTAGTTGTATTTTTAATTAATTGTGACAAATGAACTCAAATTCCGCTATACCGATTCCTAAGTGAAATAGGCTGTATTTTATCACGTTAAAACGAATTTCGTCAGTGCAAAGCCGGGATAGTTCAAAGTCTTATAATAAAATTAATATTTTAGAGCATATAAAAGCAGAAACTTTTTAATTTAGCTGGTTTATAAATATGGCATTTTATTTCTTTTATTTTTTACGTTAAAACATACTCTTAATACATATTCAACATTCCTGGATTCCACCGTCACTTAACATCAGGTGGGGTGGAGTCATTTATCGGACATATTTAAAAAAATACGTTCTGTGAAAATTTCAACTTTATACCTATTAAAGATTCATAAAACAGCTGTTTCATCAGTTAGCTGTTTTATGAATCTTATAGGGAGATCTATCTAGTACGGAAATCTAAAAAACAAAAAATAATGTCATAAACTTGATTGAAAATTGCATGCTTACGTTGTCCCGTAGACTCCATGCGACTGGCTGTGTTAACTGTGTCCCCGAACAGACAATAGTGAGGCATCTTGACACCAACTACTCCGGCACACACCGGCCCCGAGTGGACGCCCACTCGCACCTGTCGTTCATATAATACGCTCACTATTCATTTTCATCACCAGCCTATGTCGAGCCCACATGCTCGAAACAACTCTAAGGGCGCGTTTATATGACTCAGAATATCCACGCGGCGGCCGCAAGAATTTTTTCGCGTCGTCTATCTGCGGCAGCCTAAGGCTGCAGATAGACGACGCGAAAAAAATTCGGCGTCCACTCCTCGATCACACGTGTGATCGAGTGAAGTTATGGGAAATTCAAATATCTGAAATCGACTTTATACCGACTTCGTCAAGTGTTTCGATAAAATCTGTCACAATACTCTCATAACTAAACTTTGGCAACTGCGTATTTTGTTTCGCTGGATAAAGTCATACGTAGTGAATCGTTGTCATGCTGTGGCATTGTCGGGTTATCAATCTGCGTATTAAGATGTACCTTCTGGTTTTCCTCAAGGATCACACCTAGGACCATTGCTCTTTATTTTTTATGTCAATATTTTACATATTTTTATAACTAATTCTAATGTTCTTCTTTATGCAGATGATACAAAAATAATTCGAGTTATATGAGACACAAGATAGTGTTCATTACTGCAGAGCGACTTAAATGACTGAAACATACTGCAATGATAATAATTTATTTTTAAATCCAGATAAATGTCATATAATTTCCTTTACAAGGAAATAACCGATAAATTTCTGTTATACATTGTGTGGAAAGATTTTAAATCGCGTAACACAAATAAGAGACCTAGGTGTAACAATGGATTCTAGACTTACATTTGTCCCGCACATTGGCAAAGTAGTCAACCAGTCTTTCAAATTCTTGGGATTCATATTGCGCATAGGAAAACCTTCTAAGAGTTCTATAATATATAAGACGCTTACGCGTAGTCGATTGGAATTCGCAAGCCCTGTATGGAATCCTTATCATCATGTACATCACGATAAAATTGAGAAGGTACAACGTAAATTTGTACAGATTATAGAACCGGTAACCCGCACACTGATTATGAAACCTCCGTTGCTTATCACAATATTACATCTTTATAACGCCGACGGGATCTAACAGATATAAATTGTTTATATAAAATCTTAAATAATAAGAAAGATGCTCCATCTTTATTAGAGAAAATATTTCTTAGTATACCCAGAAGGCAAGAGAGAACAAATTTTCCTGAACAAAATTTTAAATGATCTTCCTTTCATTTAAAATGCTATGTGATTAAAGAAAAATAATCCTTACAATTAACTCTTTCGAAGGTTATCATATAAGACGGTTTGTGATTTTTTTTCACATTTCACAAGTTTAATTTCCGGTTGTCCAGGTTAATTAAAAAAAATCTGTGAATGTTTTTCTACTTATTATTAAAAATAAAATGATGTCCTCTTTTAGTAGAATATCCTATCTTTAATATTTAATATACTTTCCCTCCGTGTGGCATGGCCGTGGGACGCACTGTATACTATTCGTTCATTGTACACACAAATACTACTCGATTATCGATATTTTGTCTATCAGAAAATAAATAAAGTCTGGTGGCCCCGCCCAGGGATCTTCAACTATACGTACGTTCATACTTTAGTTCAATGTAAATAAACTTTATTAAAAATACTTTGATAATAAAAACTTTCATATAAAATGCGAAGAAACTTTTTCCCCAATCTAATACGTTTGGCGCGTGTACAATGTTGGCGGACACATTGTTCAAAGTTTCTTTAAGCTGCTCGTAAAACACGACACGGAACTCGCTTTGGCTTTTTGCATGTCATCATTAGCTTTATGTTTGTTGAATTTGTTAAAAGCAAAATTTGTGATAAAACTCAGATGTATACCGTGTAACTACATAACTTTAAAGGCATTGCATTGTTCGGAATAGGGATGTCTAGCAAACATTTTGACTTGATTGATTTGATTGAAGTGATTATCTGCGCTCGCGCTGCCCATTCATCCCCAAAAACGACGCGAACGGCAATGTCAGTCGAATGTTAGCGGGGTATAAGACTTAATAGTAATAAGGTTAATATAGGAAACAACCATACCTCCAGTCGATGCGTGGGCCTGTGCCGGACCACGAACCCGCGTACAGCTTCCACAACGGCGAGTGCCATTAAACAAATCTCTCGCGCGTGCAGGTCGCCATTACGCTCCGGCAACCCTGACACCACCATGTAAGCGTCTCCAATGGTTTCCACCTATGATATAAAACGCAGAAACTGTTTCAAAAGCACCTTGAAGCTTACTAACTATTTGGTATCACACCTTACAATGCTGAAGTAAAATATATTAACACACGTAGGTACAGTGCGATAAGGATCTTTATGAATATGAGTGACAGTTCAGGGAGGGCGCCATTGTCTACGTTAATGACATATTAAATTATGACGTTTACAAAGACAGCGGCGTTAGTTTTACATTCTTATAGATTCTTGTCGCACTAAAAGTAACTAAAATCGATAAAATGTGTCTTATATGGTTTCCACCTTTAGAACACCGAAACTTTTTCGAATAAACGAAATAACGTTTTAACTTCAACCTTTTTGGAACCTGTCATAAACTTATTTGCAGTGTCTTACTTCTTATTGGTCATTCGTGTTTGAACACTCACATTGCAAGCGAAATCAACTGGTCGCCACCCACGTCTGTCTGTGAGAAACTAAGGCCCGTTATCAATAGATCGCTCTCAACCCTGAGACTACGATCTTAAGATACTGTTTTCGTACAAAACAGCATCTCAAATCTCAAGATCGGTGTCAGAGCTGTGATCGATCTATTAATACGGGCCTGATAATAAGCTTGCAAAATTCTCGATATCCCACCATTAAAAAACTAAAGTTAAAGAAAAAAAATACACACGGAACAAGATAGTGCAGTTTTTTTTTCTAAGGTTCAAATGTTGAACCGGAACATTTCAATAATTATAACATTTGTCGATACAAAAATAAATTTAAAAATCAGGTATCAGACCGCGCGGGCATTTCCACATTTTTAATAAGTGTTTTTGGTCATCTATCGGATAATTTGACATTGCGAAAGTTTCTTAACTTCAACTTAAACAGAACGAACGCTCTGCAAACTTCGTAATCCAACTTTTCTTTATAAACGATCGAATGTATATTTTATTAAGCTTACACTTTTATCATAAAGTATACCGTCATACAACTTGTGCTCTCACATCTCACCAAGGGATAAACGTAAGGATGAGTACTCAGAAGTTCGAGTTTTAAGCTGATAAGTTTAAGATAAGACATAAGACTGATAGTCAATATAAGCCTTAAATCACACGGGCTAAACCAGTCCTTCAATTCTACAAATTTCACTCGCTCATGTTATATTCATAAGCACATAAATTAATAATCCTCTATTGTAACAACTAACTATAAACTGTAAATTATTCTGTTTGGGTTACATACCTACATGTTATTGCTTGCATATGATAATTGACTTTTGATAAAGGGTTGTTTGATGAAATCCTTAAATACACTTTGGAATGCGAACACACCCAAAGCAAGGAAGTGTATGTTGTTAATCTAAGAAACAACAAAGTACCTTGTTACATATTCTTTACATGGGTGTACAACGAGCTGAATAAATAAATTAGAAGTATGATTATTATGTCTTCCTATCGCAAGAGAATAAAAAACATCGCGATAATTTAAAATGCCGTCATTCACAAAATATCCAATACATCGAAGACTATTTACATATAACATTTACATTACATATAATTCATTATCTTCACAAAATACTAGTTAAGCTAGGCGTGATTTGGCTCGAAAACTCATCAAAGTATATAATATAATACGACTTTACGGCTAAAAAGGAAAAATAGGAATACAAGTTGTCACGATTGCAAAGAAAAACCAACCTTATATACATCGTAGAAGCCGATGATCCTGTCGAAAGTACTATACAGGTCGTTGAGCAGGTCTACGACCTGAATGGGCGTAGAAGCGGCGCACAGTTCGGTGAAGCCGACAATGTCGCTGAAGTATACCGTGACGCACTCGAAGCCCTCCGGCTGCACCATTTCACCGGCCATGAGCTGCTGCGCCACTGGCCTGGCGGTGCAATCGGTATATATTGTGTGTGCTACTATATCATTTTTTTTCTTTTTTTTTTGGTATCCGTTTGCTTTGGTTTGGGAAAAAACACTCGCTTTTGGACTATGAGCTGTTTTTCTCAAATTTTTTATTTAATGTTTTTGTTAAATGCTTTTAAATTTATTCTATTATGATTTTTTAGGTGAATTCTATATATTATTTGATTGTTGTGTTTTTTTAAATTCCATATCATTTTGCTCAGTTGACAGAATTATCGTTAGTCTTAAGCATGTCGCTTCGTCGCATTAGGAAATTATTGGTAATAACACTTCGTGGTATTTAAAGGACTCGATGTATTAGGAGGTTACTATTAAGCGTATGTGTCGAGAAATCGTGTGTCAAAAATGCTGCGTTCACTCGATGGTGTTATCTGATCGCCACGTATGATAATTGAGTTATAACAACTTGCAAGCAGTATATAAAAGCAAACAATAGAAACTATGATATGTCATATAAGTAAATACTTATAATGAATTTATGAAATTTCATTTTGATAATAATCTCGTACGCAAATTATTCTTAAAGGAAGGAACTCAATTTATTGTTAACAAACTACCTACCTTAAAGTTTATTATTGCTTTTAGCTTCTAAATTCAACTGTTAGGTCCCTGCTCACTATACCGTATCAAACCATGAACGTGATAGGACAGTATCATTTATCGTAGGACGTGCACGACCGGTAATGGTACGGTCTAATAGTTGGCGCTTGTTCATTTGAAGTGTATGAAAAAATATTCTATTGCAAGTTTCGGTACGGTTACGGATGGTATGGTACGGTGTTGTAGTTACCTTTTAGATATTTTGTACTTGAAGAAATAACAGTACAGTAAGCTATTAAATCCTACCTGGGAAGAACTTGATATAGAAGCTCCTCCGAGCGTCTCTTTTCAAGCGACAGTTGCTCAGTTTTCTCTTCTACCAAGGTTTCGAGGTTGTTGGCATACTGCTCCATGCGCCGTAAGAGATCGTCCATCAAATTGTCACAGTAGCCCCTTAGAAAAATCGCCAAAATACGGAATTACAATTTATACGCCAGTTATGAAATACCAGTTATCTTTACGTAAATCAGAATATCTGTAGTGATGTCATCTCATCGTATCTAGAAATTATCAAGAAACAAAATGAAAATAACGTACATAATAGTATAATTTCAAATTTCCTCATTTATTCAGCATTATACATTATGATTGCAATGAAAGAAAGCGGACGGAATAACACTCATAGCACATGTCACTAAATTCGCACTGAATATAGTAGGAACATATGGAGACGAAGGTAGGACGGTCTTCGTCCAGCAGCGCGCGGCCATCTTCAGCAGCTCTCACATCGCTCTTTCATATCGATTGATCTTACTCAGCGCTTACTTGATGTAATTGGCGAAGGTGTTGAAAGAAGGACTAGTCATCCGCTGCACCGACACTTCACGGCTCCAGCAGCATATTAAGCACACCAGTGAATCGAACGATGCTACATACCATAGTACTAATCATTCGTTTGTTGTAGTAGGTGTTGATGGTCTCGGTACAGCAGAATTCGGTCAGCTCGATGCAGTTGATCAATGATCGACAGAACGATGTTTATATTCCATCCTACTAGACACTCACTTTATGTAGTTAGCGTTGATGGCATCGAAGGTGGGTCGGTCATCCGTGGCTTCGGCCCAGCAGCGCGCTGCCAGCTCCAGCAGCTCGGCAGCTCACAATCCACATGCACATTGATGGTCAGAACCATGTTCTTAGGTCACCATACTAGACACTGACTTGATATAGTTAACGTTGATGGCGTCGAAGGTGGGCCGGTCATCCGTGGCTCGATTCAGTTGCAGCAGCTCTTATTTCGGTCACGCACACAGACGGGCGGAACAATAATCTTAGAGACACTGAACACTCACTTGATGTAGTTAGCGTTGATGGCATCGAAGGTGGGTCTGTCATCCGCGGCCTCGGCCCAGAAGCGCGCGGCCAGCTATAGCAGCTCTTACCTCGGTAACGCAACTAGACGGGCAGAACGATGATCATAAGATACCCTACTAGTCACTTACTCGGTATAGTTAGCGTTGATGGCATCGAAGGTGGATCTGTTATCCGCGGCCTCGGCCCAGCATCGCGCGGCCAGCTGTAGCAGCTCTTACCTCGGTAACGCAGACAGACGGGCAGAACAATAATCTTAGGACTTCTGGACACTCACTAGATGTAGTTAACGTTGATAGCATTGAAGATGGATCTTTCCCCGCGGCCTCGGCCCAGCAGTGAGCGGCCAGCTGTGGCAGCTCTTACCTCGGTAACGCAGACAGACGGGCAGAACGATGATCATAAGACACCCTACTAGTCACGTACTTGATATAGTTAACGTTGATGGTATCGAAGGTGGGTCTGTCATCCGCAGCCTCGGCCCAGCAGCGCGCGGCCAGCTCCAGTAGCTCTGCGGCCGCGCTACCCCCGCCCCCAGCCGCGGCCCCCACCTCGCTCACGCACACAGACGGACGGAACGGGGGCGACTCACGCGCACACACGCGAGACACTATCTCTGTACAATACCATCATCATCATCATCATCAGCCTATCAATGTTCCCACTTCTAGGGCACAGGCCTTCCCTATGGATGGAATAGGGAGTTTGGGCCATGACCCACCACGCGGGCCCAGTGCGGATTGGTGGGTGCTAACGATCCATATGCAGTTGGGACCAACGGCTTAACGTAAATTTTTGGTCACCCATCCAATGACCGACCACTGCAAAAAATGCTTAACTTCAAGCGATCGCAGCTGAACGCACTAACCACCCACGCCGTCGAGCTCCTCAATACCATCGTCATCAGACTATTAATGACCCCACTATTGAGGCACATGCCTTACCTATGACATAAGTAGACAAGGTCTGGATCTACTACGCGAACTTATAAATTAGTGAGTGCTAACGACTGCAGGTGCAGCCAGGACCAGTGATTTATGACTATGGTGCCTTCCAAAGCACGGAAGAGCTCGAGATGATATGTTTTTGATCACCCATATAATGAACGACCATTACATTTGCAGCTTGCACAAATTCAGACCGAACGCGCTACCTGCGCCGTCAGTCTCCTTGGACTTAATTATATTCTAAACTTTCATTGTAATGCAAGTATTTCAGACTAGTGATTCAGACAGCTGCAAAATTACTAATTACTTTAAAAAGTCTTATATATTCGCTAACTCCAGATTGCTGTATAGTTTTCAATAATTTCTCTAAGGTGCAATCTTTCTTCATACTGAAAATGCCTTCGATTTAGAAAATGTAAAAACCAAACAAACAATGTTCCTTTCACATTTAACGTAGATGAGTAATGTTGTCAAACCTTTGTTGGACATAGTCGATGTGTAATGGTGGAAGGGGCCTGCCCTGAGCACGATCTCCTCTAGAATGATCCCGAAACTGTACACGTCTCCCTTCAGCGAGGCCATGGCTCCAGGGTACACGCTGCCGGTCACCAGCTCCGGGGCTGTCCACAGCAGTTCTACGCACCAAACTTCAAAGTGTATTAAAAGTCAATACGACTAGAACAAAAACATAGAAATAAAGAAAAAAGAAAAACATATATTGACGACATACATTAACAATTGCAATAAATACACAACAAACATAAAACAAAAGGTACATCGTCAACTAGGCCCCGCCTCAGCATAATGTTGCAACGGCAAAAATGGATTGCCGCTGCAACGCTGATATTCTGGAGGGACCCAATTTGGACATCAACGGACGGAGACACAAGACAATCACTTAACATACAAAATAAGAGAAGTAATTAATATATATTAACACTAAACAAAAACAAAAAAGCAAAAACAATCATCCCTTGCCCAAGGATGTGAAGTCCATCACAAAAACTTAATTTTAATGCAATATTCGGCAAGATAAATCATTATTCACAAGGAAGGTTTACTATTATGTTTAAAATACATGCAAATTTTAACAAACGTGCGAAGCGGGGGCAGGTCTAGTTTAAAATAAAATTAGATAAAAATATAATAAAACATGATTAATATTATGTCTGTTCTCTTGTGACTTATAATATCATTACGATTATTCGTAGACTAAAGCTTTTTGCATATTTTTAACTTTATTTTTTCTGCTTTCGATACAATCAAAAGGCTTATCGATATTATGATAATTTTTGGATGTCAACTATTGATATTAAAACTACCGATAGTCCTGCAACACTAAAGCATTGTCCAAACACTGTTCGGTCTAACATAATCCCTAAAAACAAATGGGTTCCGTCTATTTTAAGCATCCCTACTTACCATAGATATCACATGCAAATTTCATCACAAATCGAATTCATTAAGCATAATTACTGTAATAGTATGTGTCGTCCTTAATCAAGTCTGTCGGCGTGCACAGGGTGTTGAGGCCGTAGTCGGATATTTTTAATACGAAGCGTCCATCGATGAGGCAGTTGGAGGAGCGAAGTTTCCCGTGGGCACCCAGCCCGCCGTGTAAGTAGCACATGCCCTGAACAACGTGTGTCGAGTTAAACGACTCGTTATGTTAATGCCATGATAAATGATATTATGAATTTACATAGCTACATTATTAGACATGAGTATGATATTGTTTGTATTTCTAACTTTACTATAGAATCTTTGCTCATGAACGTGACTTCCTTTGCATAGTAAACTTTTAAATTCCTGGACAAAATTCCATTAAGGTTTCCTGATTTATATTGAAATTAAACATTAGTGACGACTCTGTTTGTCTCACAGAAACCGTATAATAATTTTGAGTGAAAATTTAAACGAAAATAATGTCCATCCATGAACCATCCAGATTTTGAAGGGCTTTCATGGAATATGTTTCTTGAAAGCATAATTCTCATGATTATCGAAGTTATTATGGCAAAAAATACTTATAATAAAAAGCGTATATGATTTCGGGTAAAAATACCTAAAATACACACATTGTCACCATCGATCAGCATTTCCGGACTTGCTTGCGTGCTTTCATTAAAGAATTGTGTGTTGTATGGATACTCCTGGTGATTCAAATGTCTATTGGCGACAGTGATCACTTACCATCAGATGAATCGTCAGGTCGTATGCCCACTATAATATCAAAAAAACGACGGGTTGCACTCCGGGAGTGCCGGCAGAAGTGAAAACTTGAATATTAACGTTGTGCATTTTTGATATTTTGGAATGGTTAGGGGATAATTTTGCACGAATTGCTTTAATTATCAGATAAAAGTACTATCATGTATGTGGTAGAATACAATATTTATTTACTGCGCTATCGTATAGAAACATGATAATTTATATTACATTAAAAAAGTTTATCTCTCAGAAAAATCAACTTACATGAATCACGTTTAAGCGCACTTAGCGACATCTATTGTAAAGTAATCAACTTACATGAATCACATTTAAGCGCATCTAGCGACATCTATTGTAAAAAAATGCATTTTCTTCGCAATAAAGCTGCCACGTGGACGTCCTAGATAGAGACTTATTATTATAATACGGTAAAATAAAATATTACTTTGTTTCGTCCAATATATTGAAAGTCAACAACTTTTCCAATTTTATTGTGTGTCATGATACGATCAGCCCACGTGTTTAGCCTGACGCGAGTTTAACATTTTTACCCATACAAAAAAAAGTGTACAACGCCGCTAAAGAAGTTTTCACTTCAAAAATATATAAAAAAGCAATGCCACACCTGCACAATGTCGTGCACCAGCGAGGTGCGGAAGTTCCAGTCCAGCTGCAGCTCTTCGTTGGCGAGGACATCCTTGAGGGAGCCCTTGGGACAGTACTCGGTAAGCACGAAAACGAGCGGGCAGTCAACGCACGCGCCGATGAAGCGCGCCGTGTTCTCGTGAGACACGTTCCGTGCCTTGGAGGAAAATTTGCAATGAGTATTTTCCATTGCAACTTTATGTGTGCTCATGGGCGTAGCTTACCAGCTAAGTAAGTACTAAAGCCCTCAACTAGAAGCAAGGGAGGGCAATGCCCACTCTAGAAACCTCCCTGTCCATCCTGCAATACGAGTGTTATTTTTTTAAGAAGGTTTAAACGTGTTTTTTTTATTTAATCAATAAACATATCGTCTCGGATGCATTAACATAAATAAATAAATGTCATTAAATACAAAAATTAAAAGTAAATTCAGAAAAAAAATGTTTTTCTGGAAGGCTACAAAACTATTAAACTTAAAAAAATATAAAAAACTGATTTAACAAAGTTTAGGAATGCCGTGTCCGTTTAGGTATAAAAATGTCGATTTATGATAAATACAATGATAAATAGTACCCAATTTATCAAGAGCAGCCTCATCGCCGCTGGCAGCACCCGTTCACGAGCATGACGCATGAACTAGCCATCTCTTCGCTCAACCATTTTTTAGGGAATGTAACGACCCGCCTCACTCGACACCGCCCGCCGTAGAGATTTTTAAGAGAGCTTGACTACCCATAACCACATATAAATACTAAGTTGCAAAATAGAAAATAAATAAATATATAAGTACCTGTGTACATTATTATAACAAACTATAAACAACACTTTAGGACACATGCATGTGATTACCTATTTAGAAAAGATAACACGTATCTTTCCCCATTACTTATGTACCTGTTTGATCTCCCACAGCAGTTTTTTGTTGATATCGAGTTTCTTCCTGTGAATCTTCTTGACGGCTACCCGGTTCCCCTTGTACAGGCCGACTGTGAAGGTGGTGAGGTTTAGGGAGGGCGTGTTCACACCGGAGGCCGCACCGTTGCTCCCACGGGCGCTCCAACCCAAGGATAGCTGGTGATATCAACAAAATTGTATCTAGACTGCAGAGCACAGACTTTTTCTATGGATGGAATAGGAAGATTAGAACATAAACCACCACGCGGGCCTGGGATCAAATTGGTAGGTGCTGACTGCATAGACCAGCTGCATGACGCGCGGCACTCTAGCTAATAGATTTTTTGTCATCCATCCGATGATCAGCCATTGTAAAAGTTGCTTAACTTCTGAGATCGCAGAACAAAAGCCCTAACCCACTGGCTTTATTAGACAAAAAAAAATGTTTTGGGTTTATGAAATCACGATGAAAGTGAAACTTTAAAAATTATTAATAAATAAAGTTCTTGTGCAGCCGGGCATTGAACCCCGATCTTAATTTCAACGATCGCAGCTCTCCACTTACGCCATCGAGAAATGTTATATGTTACTGGCTGGCTAAGAAGTTAGTCCTGTCTGTAAACTGCCATGTTTCTATAAAAATAAAATGTAAATTCAAAATATGACAGTCTAGTGCAAAATTGTGACAATCAGTGTGGATATTCTAATGTGCTAAAAATAAAATAAACAAATCTAATAAAATCTAATATATAAAATTCTCGTGTCGCGGTGTTTGTGGTTAAACTTCTCCGAAACGGCTTTCCCGATTCTCATTTAATTTTGTGTGCATATTGGGTAGGACTGAGAATCGGACAACATCTATTTTTTATCCCCCTAAATGTTAAGGGTAATCCACCCCTAAATTTTTTTTTAATTTATTTTATATACAGCAAATACATACTACCCTGAATTTTCACCCTTCTACCACCAACCCCTATTTTTTTATGGCGATACGAAGTTCGCTGGGTCAGCTAGTAACTTTATAAAATCAGGTGTAAAGTGTTCAGTGTATCTAGTAAAGTTCTTAGTCTGCATATACCATCGACTTGAACAACGCTCTGCTACTAAAACGTGAAAAATCACAAAATAAACATATTTAAATGTATACTTATATGTAATTGATAAACACTTCCAGAATACAGAAAGCTTAACTCATAGTTTTCCCAGCAGTTTATGATTAACAGAGCGATATGAACTTGCGCGTTCGTCCAGTCCAATTTCCGAAACCATCCAGTTTGATTGGCGAACCGGAACAAACATCACACAGTGACAGGCAATTATGTAATTACCAGTTACACTTGTAATCAATTAAGGAGTGTTTGCTGTGTACCGACACATTTTATCCATTTGAAAATAGAATTTATGCAACATAAACTGTATAGTGAAACTAATTTCATCCATTGGGACTTAGGTAATGGAATTCTCATGTATCGAATGAAATTGCATGAAGGATTCTAAATTACTCACATAATGTTATCGTAGGTAGGTAATATAAAGACCTAAGTAGTATACAAGCTTAAGATCGGTTTAATTTTAACATTAATAAATACATACATACTTTCATCTTATTATCATCATAATTAATTTCATGCCAAAAATGTAATTTAAAATATTATTGTACTAGCGGTTTCGTCCGCGATTTTTTGAGAATCCCTGTCGAACCCACATTTTTTCAGAATAAAAACTGTACTATGTCTAAATCCAGATAAAAAACTACATAGATTACGCTCAGTTGTTTTTGCGTGATTGAGTGACAAACAAACAAACAAGCTCACTTTCGCATTTATATAAAATGAGTTAGGATAGGATAATTCACAAATAGGTGGAATGACGCAAATACTCTTACATTCCGATAAGACCACTGGGTGACAATTATGTGAAGTTTTCGACAACAAAGGACCTTTTCTCCAACAAGGAATATACGTACATACTCGTACATTACTTAATCTTGTCAATCCTCCCTGTTAAATAATAGATGCGATTTTCCCGGGCAGCGGGATAAAAGCGTTCTTGAACAGAAACTTCGACATAAGGTGACTATGTCATGAATGACCGCCACAGAAAAGACTATTAAAGATATGAATAAGTGTGAATTTCTTTTCGACGAAGAAAAGATTCAGGCCGCTCTCAGAAAGAACAATATTTTTTTAATGTAGTTAATACAGGGTTTTCAATATGGATGGGATATCTTTGAGTGCCGATACGGACATATTGGATTGTCTATTGGCGATATTTTTTTGGCAGTTAAGTTATTAAAAGTTTGTCATTTATCAAGATGAGTCGCTATACAGTTGAGCAACGCATTAAAACTATTAAAAAAATTTATTATCAAAACGGCACTTCAAATAATCAAACGTTTTGTGCGTTACGAGAAACTTGTGGTCAATATAACCATCCCAAGGAGGAGAACACTATTCGTCATACGTAAAGTAAAAAAAATACACAACTGAATCAGTCATGAAACTGAAGTCTAAAGCGGGCTAATGACATCCCTGCCGCAGAGCCAAAGTAGAGCGCACGGTGGTCGGGGCAATATCGGCTCGTCTCTACACACATGTCTGCTTTTCAGTGTTGGGGTATAAGTTGACCTAAACACACGCGTTGACAATGACCCCAGTATTATCAAAATATCAAAAGGTCGGTAGCTAGGACCTTGGCTCTTTCTATGGTGTTAGCGCAAAAAAGGAAATACTGGGTGGAGAATTGCCAACAGAAAGAAATGTATTGTAAATAAATAATGTCTTTGTGTTTTTTTATCCCACATCTTTATATACTTCTATCACTCGACACCAAACTTCACGCTCATTATGATCTGCTGCCATCTTGATCGAAATACGTGCGCTCCGTGTAACAGCTACCAATCAACTGATTGAAAAATTGTCCCGATCGCACTACACACGCAGCAACGTGCAGGGCGGCAGGGACAATCTAGGAACCAAGGGTAGTCTCGCGCCCCTGTTGCCCTACCGCAGGGCTAATTACATAATTGCCCCTGCTTGCCTACATGCATCACAATTAAGGAGGCAATTAAGGGTCATCCCCGCTCTAATACCCTAGATTGACCCTGCGGCAGGGATGTCAGTAGCCCGCTTAAGAGAAACTTGTGTAAGCACTGTAAGACTTGCCTTACAGTGCTTACACAAGTGTAATGGGATACTAGGATAACAGATAGAATACATATATTGTACATACATAAGTATATTTAATATAGAAATACATATAGAATATCCATGACTGGAGTACAAATGCTCGTATTCATCAAATGAAGTGTAAGTTGTAACAACTATGTGACTTTGATAAAACTCTGGTTACCTTTAGGACTTCGTTGATGCTGTGCAACGCTGGGCTTGCCCCCAGCCCAGTCCCTACTTCTACGAGCACTTCTTCAGGCCGCACCCGCCACGCCGTGTTGTTGAGCTCCGCGTCGATACGCGCCTGTCTGCTTACACACAATCACTCCAAACAATTCAATATATAGGTAAATTCGATGAATTAGAAATGATATGGAAAAACAAAGACCACTAAAACATGCCTGCAAACTCATACCACTAAACATCAATAGTAAAGCGACACGCACAAGGACAAAACAAAATACTTTGTCGAATAAAATATCCGCAAATGAATCCGGCTATCCATTATGTTATTATTATATATGTTAAACGGAAATTCCAACCAATCCACGATCGGCGTGTTGATCGCAATCTTTTCAACCCACCAACTTGATCGTAGTTTGCGTGGCACCACTTTTTAGCGTAGTTCGTATTCCATATCATTTTTAATTCGTTGGGTAAATTCAAATATTTGCAATGGAGGACTAGATAATAATAAATAATAAATGTTTATTTCTTTTAAATTGTTATACATTTAGTTTACACATTAGCAGTGTTGTAATATTAACAATAGGTATAAGGTTGTAGCGTAGCACTAGTTTAAAAAACTGTATTGCAGATACCGGCGCTTTCCGACTTGTTATCAATACAATCTCGTGTGAATAATTTAATCTATATCTATAATGAAAACGTTATTAAAAAGAAAATGGTAATAAACTTTTTTTTTCTTTCCCTTAGATGGCGCAGTGATACGCAATTTAGTTTAATTTATAGTTAGTGTAAAGTAAAGTAGTTTTTGCAACAGCCGATCTTAGGATGGCGATCAAAAATCTATTCTAGCTTACTAGCTAATTCAGACAACGATATAGGTTATAATTACTGCAAGAAATTATTCATTATATCATTTTAATTTTCATAAATTGATACAAATAAAACTACTTTACTACTACTATCTACGAACTTTGAACGGATAATAATTCCTTAATAGATAGGTGAGTATGTTATTTGCAAAACACCGTAAAGGATATTTTGTAAAGGACATAAACCAATATTTTGTATGGGGCTGTAGTACGTTTACTGGTTTATAACTGTTCTCACTATATTTATTTGCACGATTTTTAAGTTGGAGAGTTCGAAAAAAACGCGCTCGAAAAAAAATTATTTTTTCTATATTCTACCCATTCGTACGACCACACCATGCAAACCGGCAGATCAATATTTTTTCATTTTTATAAACTTTACGTGAATCGTCTAATAGCTTCTATTCAAAAAGACTGACGATTTGGACTCAACTAAATGTCCTTGTTTTTTTTATTACTGCATTAGACATTCGGCCCTACATAGAGGGCTCAGGTATGGTGGGAGTACATAACTAGGTGCAAGGTTGCCCCAGTTAAGTTATTCTGCCGCGTTCGAGTTATTTAAAAAATTCCCTCTTGGGCTCCTCTACCATTAAGCGCTTTAATCACTTACGAGGTTGGTAGAGTACCGAAGGGTGGTTACATAAAGGACCCAGTTTCTGGTCACGAAGGCTAATTTATTACAAAAAATAAATACCTAAGTATAAAAGAATATGTTGACACTCAAACTCGTACCTAAATGCGTAAATAAAGAAATATATATTATTATTTTTAAAGTCTTACATCACCACATTTTTTTATCCATAATTTTAGCATGTCGCATTACATGTTTAATAGTTATAAAAAAATCAGACTTTATTAAAAAGCATCGGTGATTCAGCGGTAGAAAAACTCGCCTGCTATGCGAACGGCCCGGGTTCGATTCTCAACCGAGGCAAGGCTTTTATTGCACTTGTTAGAATCCAGGGTATAACATCAACGAAGTATGAATATTTGAGGTGATGTAAAACACTTAAGCAGTGTCACTTACATAGTTATTTTTGTAGTAGGCTCTCGGGACCTGAAGCAGGGTTCTTTCAGTATTGTGCGAACGACGTAATCTAACAATGGTTTGCCCTTAGCAATAACTTAACAAAACGGAATCTATCCTGCCTATCATTGAACAACAGTTCGAGTCCGGGTTACTCTATGCTGCCTACGGTTAGACTCCCCAAAGAATGCTTTCAGCGCCCAAAATTAGGTAATTAAAGGACGTATTGTTGTCTTGCTCTTCTCCCAGTCGAGTATGGAAGTATGAATTCCTATAAAATAATGGCAAGCTTTGTATTTCTAGCCGATTTTGCAATATTGATGATCGAAACACAACAATTTTTTTAATTGTTTTCGTCATTCTAAAATTAAAGACGTAGTAATTAGGTACCCTGAAATAAATTATAAAAAAAACTTTCATTTTTGTGTTAGGCATAAATAAACGATGGGTCTCCCTGCGGTCGAGCGAAGAGTGACCAATCATTCATCTAAGGATTATATTAGGTACTTATTAATGAATGTACTTACTTGTAAGCGACACACGCAGCTGTCACAGCGAAACTTAGAAATATCGCTAATCCAATGAAACAGTATATTATTACTGTTTGAGCCTCTTAGCAGCGTCCAAAATAACGATCAAAATACCATCATCAATGTGAAACAGTAGACTGGCTTTAATGATAGAGCCCAAAGATTTATTGGTACCAACGTTGTTACTTTTCTCTCGTATAATCATAAATACGTATACACAATTTGAGAACACATCAGTTTGACATCGAGGTCGGATGACAAATTTTGTGAAACGATGTATCGTGACATTTTGGGGCGGATCACACGCGTATATAGCAGTGTAATTACATAAGCTTGCTACAAGTGGGTGCCCTTTATGCGCACACTAAGGTGCCAACCCAATACGGGCTGCAGATCGCAAACTGCAGCGACACCACTTGTTTCTTATGAATCTCTATGAAATTCATCCTGAACACGGCGACACTGCGCCGACAGCCGCAGCGCGTCGCCTGCGGCCTAGGCGTGTAATGACCGCAGCGCAGACACTGGAATGACTGAGCCTCAGACACTCCACTGAGGCATGATTCTATGCATTGTGCAGTCGCAGCATGTTGCCGTGCTTGAGAAAGCAACCACGACCGCAGGCGATACTACGGTCGTGACAGTTGCTAGCAGCAGTGTCGACTGTGATTGCAGTCTACCACCCGTCTCGGATTTGGACCTTAATGAGGGTGCTCTGTCATGTCGTTCCGCTTGCAATGGAGCCAAGCATTATGCCCGCAGTCCAAAATTTATTCGCCATAATACTAAAAAAACTATTCGAAAGTGCTTTATGCTTCCAACTGTAATAAAGATAATTGAATTTTGCTCCAGAATGCATCTGAAACATAGCTGAACAAGATCACTGAACCACTATAGATATTTTAGTAATGAAGTATACAGACATTGTTCAATCAAGTGTATACTTTTAATTTGACCCTGTAGTGGGCGTCGTATCCTTTTCATTAATTTTAAATTGCAATATTGGTGTAGTTACAAACCAACAAAGAAAAAGTGAAAGTAATTTTCGGATTTGCATATGTTTCACAAGCAACCGTATTTTTAAATGATTTTGATACAAATGTAGAAAAAAAAGCTGTGTAGAAGGTACGAGAAAAATTGACAATTCCAATAATGAAAATGCAAATAAACATATTTTCTAAAAATACATAAGCTGTCTAATGGAAATTGAGAAGTTCGTCACGTACTCAAGCACGGAATAGATATAAAAAGTTTTACGCAAAAGACAATAAGAAAATGTTTCAGATTTGGGATTCACCGCAAGCAAAATAATGACACAAAATATAAGGCACGTAACTTCATGAGATGCGTACCAAGTAAAAACTTCGGTACCTACAAAAGTATGTATTGATTATTCTGTCGAGTTTATACGGGTACTCTATATTAAAAATACTTCGATGAAACTAATAAAAGCTGAAGAATATATCAAAGGTTAAGGTACGTTAAAAGCCTTTATTTTTTTAAGTAAAAAGGGTGGCCAACAAGCTGAATACTGTCTGTCATACTTTCGCGTAAAGTGGTTACAATCACATCAACCTGTTTGGTCACTTCTATATTATAAAGTATGCTTAAATAATAAAAAAAAATATGCTAACAAATTAAATGTTAATAATTATGCATAAAAAGGTTAATTTGTAAATAACCCTAAATATATAATAAATCGTAAATTGTGATGGGACACTATAATATGTTAGAGAAATAAATATTAGGCATGATACAGCAAAATTCCCTCCAGCTTAAATATATCTTATACTTAAAGAAAATATAACTAGAAAAAATTCCACGCGGACCAGGCAGCAGACGGGACTCGAACCCGCACCCTTCGCAATCCGGGCGAATGCACTGACCAATTATGCTACCGCGGCCCTCACGGACCGCGTCGAAATTCTTTCTAGCTATTCTTAAGCTGCAAGGCAGCGCCATCTCTTCGCATTATAGGTAAACCCACAATGTCAAATGAATACTTTTACAAGTATTAAACATTTGAAAGAAGAAATAGCAATTATAGTTATAATTTTTATTATTTTTAAAGCATGTAACTGCTTGATGTTTAAATCTAAAGAAAATATAACTAGAAAAAATTCCACGCGGACCAGGCAGCAGAAGGGACTCGAACCCGCACCCTTCGCAATCCGGGCGAATGCACTGACCAATTATGCTACCGCGGCCCTCACGGACCGCGTCGAAATTTTTTCTAGCTATTCTTAAGCTGCAAGGCAGCGCCATCTCTTCGCATTATAGGTAAACCCACAATGTCAAATGAATACTTTTACAAGTATTAAACATTTGAAAGAAGAAATAGCAATTATAGTTATAATTTTTATTATTTTTAAAGCATGTAACTGCTTGATGTTTAAATCTAAAGAAAATATAACTAGAAAAAATTCCACGCGGACCAGGCAGCAGACGGGACTCGAACCCGCACCCTTCGCAATCCGGGCGAATGCACTGACCAATTATGCTACCGCGGCCCTCACGGACCGCGTCGAAATTCTTTCTAGCTATTCTTAAGCTGCAAGGCAGCGCCATCTCTTCGCATTATAGGTAAACCCACAATGTCAAATGAATACTTTTACAAGTATTTCGACGCGGTCCGTGAGGGCCGCGGTAGCATAATTGGTCAGTGCATTCGCCCGGATTGCGAAGGGTGCGGGTTCGAGTCCCGTCTGCTGCCTGGTCCGCGTGGAATGTTTTCTAGTTATATTTTCTTTAGATTTAAACATCAAGCAGTTACATGCTTTAAAATAATAAAAATTATAACTATAATTGCTATTTCTTCTTTCAAATGTTTAATACTTGTAAAAGTATTCATTTGACATTGTGGGTTTACCTATAATGCGAAGAGATGGCGCTGCCTTGCAGCTTAAGAATAGCTAGAAAGAATTTCGACGCGGTCCGTGAGGGCCGCGGTAGCATAATTGGTCAGTGCATTCGCCCGGATTGCGAAGGGTGCGGGTTCGAGTCCCGTCTGCTGCCTGGTCCGCGTGGAATTTTTTCTAGTTATATTTTCTTTAGATTTAAACATCAAGCAGTTACATGCTTTAAAAATAATAAAAATTATAACTATAATTGCTATTTCTTCTTTCAAATGTTTAATACTTGTAAAAGTATTCATTTGACATTGTGGGTTTACCTATAATGCGAAGAGATGGCGCTGCCTTGCAGCTTAAGAATAGCTAGAAAGAATTTCGACGCGGTCCGTGAGGGCCGCGGTAGCATAATTGGTCAGTGCATTCGCCCGGATTGCGAAGGGTGCGGGTTCGAGTCCCGTCTGCTGCCTGGTCCGCGTGGAATTTTTTCTAGTTATATTTTCTTTAGATTTAAACATCAAGCAGTTACATGCTTTAAAAATAATAAAAATTATAACTATCTTATACTTTCTACCCCTGCGATCCGTTCCGCTAGCATGCCGATGACATTTATGATGTTTATGTTCCTACATAAATGAAAGCTTGCTTAGGAATCGGCTGTCTTCACATACCTATAGTCGGTATTTTTCTCTCAGGTCTCTCAGAGAGAAAAATGACATTACCTGTGTTACCGGTTTATTGCAGATCTTAAATAGTGATGTACTACTAGTAGTAATTAACGCTCATAAAATATTTAGTAGGTATCGTTTTTATTTAAAAGAGTTGGAGTTAGCATTGTCGGAACCGGAATCCCAGTTATGAGAAAGCATATTATACTCATACTAATCGGATATGAATTTTCTGAAACGTCATCATCAGACTCTGCATCTATTAGTATAATAAAAGTTCGGCATTATCGACTATATGACCCAACAACACAACACACACACATACATTTAAACAAAAAATACTTAAAAACTATTATGTATTGATAAACTTTGCTATCATTTTAAAAATTTTGGAAAGTATCAATAATATAAAAAAATAAAAACTTAAAATACCGGTATCGCTGAGTAGGTACAAACAACACTACATATTAAAAGCTGGTATCATTATTTGCAAGCTTGACATTTGCATGTCTCATTTTCGTCTTCGAGATTAAAAAACAGACTTTAACACGAAAAGGGTGGGTAGTTTGCACTGGCCATAATAAAAGATTCTTACCTCCTTGACACATAGGATCGTTTCCAAGAAAGCCGCACCTCGGGGTGTCAGGCGGGGGTCCTCTGCGACCGCCTGGCCAATGGATGGCCTTGCCAGCCACAGGCTTGTAGCTACCGTTCAAGCCGTGGTAGAACGCCACAACCTACAACAACTTTTCTCTTATATTCACCTCAACCAAATATTGAACGAGTGGCGTAGAGAAAACTGTGTGAAAATAATTTGTTTCGCGTGCCACTTGAAAAAGGAATAGTATAGAATTTTGGTAGAATACGTAAGTAGGTACTCAAGATTTAGTTCATTTATTCAATTTAGGGCTTTAACAAGCAGATATCATCGTGAAAAACTACGGAATCGATTCTCCTCTTGCGATCCTTTTTCTTATTGTTTTAAATGGAAACCTGCTTCTTTCATTTTGGATTACCCATTCTCTATTGGACTTGATCGAAGTTAAGAATACTTTACATTGTCAAGTTTTGTTTTTTTTTGCGTAATTTATGAATAAATATAAGTGACGGTGTCTGAGTACTGGGAACCAATTTACGAATACTTAAAATACGACGCCGTAAGTACCTACTCAATCAATAAAATCGTACTGAAAACTTAGGTCGATTACTCATTCCTAAGACTGGGATAAATCCGATTACGACACTAATTAATTGCCTTTAAATTTGCAGATTGGGAACCATTAGTTTTACAGCAAGTGTGTTTTATACAAAAACAATGTGTAGCACATTTAAATTAAATTTAAAATTATTGTGAAATAAAAAAAAAGTGTTAGAAAAACCGTAAATCTAATATATAAAATTCTCGTGTCACGGTGTGCGTAATTGAAGTCGTCCAAAACGGCTCGACCGATTTTTGTGAAATTTTATATGCATATTCAGTAGGTCTAAGAATCGTACAACATCTATTTTTCATCCCCCTAAATGTTAAGGGTGCTGCACCCAATTTGTTTTTATTTTTATGATACTTCATACAAAAAGACATACAACCCAAAATGTTCGCCCTTCTACCACCAACCCCTATTTTTTTATGGCGATACGAAGTTCGCTGGCTCAGTTAGTATTAATATGAAATAATGCAAACGTAACACGTGTGGCGGCGACATCCGCCACACACACAATAATAATATAAACTTGCTCGCACGCGAAACATACACTCACAAATTCGTACTATAAAATAAATTTTGAGAAAGTTATAAATATCTATGAAATACTGATTTCATCACTCTTGAACATATTCATATTCTGAACCAAAATTGGATAGCATCATAATCAGAACCCTTTAGATTAGTTCTCAGACAATGGACACTTGGGATTTTAATTGGTCCATTCATTCTGAAACCTTTGAAATTTCTACTCTGGAACACCGAATAAAGGGTAATATCGTTTTACTTGGTGAAATTCATGAAATTGTATAAGTTGAATAAAATATTATTAAGTCTAATCGGAATCTCCCTATTCAATCTATAGGGAAGGCTTGTACCCCAGCAGTGGGGACATTAATAAGCTAATGATGATGATTTCATTCAGTAGTTATCAGTTCTAGTCCGGTACCTACTTTCATCACCTCGTAATGTTTTGGTCATCTTTAGCATGTTAAATGTTATTAAAAAATCAGACCTTAAGTGGTTTAGTAGTGCTTACCATCTCTCTCCCGGGATTCTAACCCGGGTAGATACCCGGGTTAGAATCCCAGCCGAGGTAGGATTTTTTTAACAATGATATTAAAAGTGCCACTTGCGTCATTGTTTCATATAACCACACTATTTTTTTTATCACAGTATGTGGATTATCAACAAGGAAGACGAAAGAATATTAAAATCTACATACTTACCTCGAATTTTCCAGTTACGGGGTCCAAATCAAGTATAGCGTAGTCGGCGTCACGATCTCCCAGCGAATCTATTCGTACGTGACCTGTTATACCTGTGCAACAAAAAATATATATCGAAACATAGAAAAAAAAATTACTAGATTTGACGTAGGTATTTGCTTGTAACTGAAAATTTTAATTTAATTTTATTGTGCATTAACCCGTGAAAAACTAGTTTTATTTAATGAGTGATGTGCGTGAAAACCTAAGAAACAAATTAATTTTATTTATTTATTATATGTTTCATAATTTCAATTTTAATTATTATAACATCAATTTATTTTCAGTACTTTTAGATATTTCCTGACATTTAACCGAATAATAATACATAATTTTAATGTTTTTTTATTTTAGAATAATTATTTTTTACTAATTATTTCAAATCAATCCAAGATTTTTCCATAGTGTGATTTTGTTCTGCGATATTGTGTAACATCTATAATTAAAATTGCACTTGGTTTGCTTCCACATTGTTTGTAACATACTTTTCAATGAGTTGGTGTTAACTTGTTGATGTTAATAAATAAAAAATAAATAAAAAAAATACCGTTGCACATACAGTTGTTGAATGTAAAGCTTAGAACACAATATGCAAAAATATAATTTCCCTTCTGTTTTAGAATTTTTGCATTCTTTATTCTACCTAGGATGTTGTTGGTTAGGGAGCTGTTAGTATATGTTGTATATTAATAAATAAATAAAATATTTACTAATAATTGGAGGATAACGCACGACGTTGTTAATAAAAATAAGCTTATATTTAAAATAAAAGCTTATTCGGTTTTTAATGATAATTTAACACAGGCGTTCATTCGTATTATTCTCCACAAAGCTTTTAATTTGTGATTTTTAATGACGTCACTTTAACTAACAATAGACTGTTGGATAACCAAACGGGTAACCAAATTTTCATCTCAATGAGTTGAAAATAACTGCCTTAAACTCTGAACCAAACATTTCTACATACATAGGGTAGAAGTATATGGTAGGAACTTGGTTGAGTTCAATGCCAAGAAAACTCAGGCTTGCGCTTTCACGGCAAAAACATCGCCATTCCTTCCCCTTCCCTCTCTTCAGGGCACAACACTGGCGCTACAGAGCAATATTACCATGCTCGGTATGGAAGTTCGCTCAGACCTGAATCCAAAGGACTACATCGAAACGTTGATCAAAACAGCTTCACGCAAACTCGGAGTCCTGAACAAGGTGCGGCGTTTTTTCACGCCCGATCAACTGTGCTTGTTGTACAAAACACAAGTGCGGTCCTGCGTGGAATATTGCTCGCACCTCTGGGATGGCTCCGCAAAGTACTTACTCGATGCCTTGGATAGGTTGCAGCGGCGCGCTGCCCGCATCATTGGCGATGAAGAGGCAACTAAGAAACTCGAGTCTCTACAATTACGCCGTGATGTGGCATCATTAAGCGCATTCTACCGAATATACCACGGCGAGTGTTCTGAGGAGCTATTCTTGCTTATCCCTCCATCACCTTTTCTTCAGAGGACCACGCGCGCTGGCCTACGTTGCCATCGACTTACTGTGGCCACTATTCCTACACGAACAAAGAAATTTGGCGACTCATTTCTTTGTCGTACTATTCGTAAGTGGAATTCTTTACCCGCGCACGTGTTCCCTCCTTCCTATAATCTGGGGTCCTTTAAGAGAGGCGTGAAGAAGCATTTTTGCGGGCCGGCAAGGTGAGGATGGTTGGTGTAGCAGTTAATAACTGCTGTACCAGCTATCTTCGCGTTTGGACTTTATCACCACTTAACATCAGGTGGGGTAGAGTCATTTGCCTACCTAGTAATATAAAAAAAAAAAAAAGCTTATAATTGAATTATTATAATGAATATTGAAACAATATTGTGAATATCAGATGAACGATGATGATGAAATTTCTTTAAATTTTAGTTTGAATGCAATAGGGTAACGACCCTATTGCATTCAAACTAAAATTTTGAGAGATTCTCATTGAGAGAGAGAGTAAACATCAGAACAGGTTTCCCCCACATAGCAAGTAAAATCAAAGCTTATAAAATATGATGAAGCAATTACCATGGAAGTCCCGACCCCACATGCGCCTGGTGATATTCCTGCCGTCTCTTATATCGCCGCCTTCAGTGAGGGTTTCGTTAAGAGCCATGCCCAGCAGGTACACTCCGTCGTAGAACGCACCAATGAAGAAATTCACCTACAGGCAGAACATAACGCATTTGAATAAATTTTGGATTCAGTGTTTCTGTGATCGATGTTATTAAACTTGTTTTTCTGTTACTTTTATTTTTATATTTGACGGCGGCTCGGTTGTTGTCTTGGTGTTATCTACGGGCATAGACTATGAATCATAGTGAATCGAATGTCACTGACAGTTCAGTGACAGCTCGATCTCATAGCGCCCGCGCGTTTTCCGAACATAATCGGTTTGCACCCGGTGCATGTGCCAAGCTTTCTGCGGAACGTCTTGATTTTATAATTGTACGTTATGTTAACTTTATAATTGTACTATGATTTCAAGAATTAATGAGCGCGTACTTCCCAAATTGTAACAGTGAAATATATCAGTGATTATTCTTTGATATTGGATTATTTCTCTTCGCCCGTTAATCCACGCCACCTCTAAGCACCAATGGAGGGCACCGGCAATCCTGGCAATACCCACGTGTCTACATATTTGTATGATTTATTTATTTGTCTTTAACAAAGATTCTACACCGATATTTGTACAGTGAATACTTATAATGAAATGTAAATACAATTATAAGGCTTATTACAAAACAGATAGAATACATAATATATATACTGATACATAATTAGTATATTTTATCTAGAAATACATATAAACATCCATGACTAAGGTAAAATGCTCGTATTCATCACACAAACATTTGTCCCATCGGGATCTGAACTGGAACCAATGAGTGCGACACCTTTAAACCCGGCGTACATACCACTCAGCCACGGAGGTATTGATAAGATGGATTTAATAAAGTTCTAATAATAAAAATACCAGTTTATGGGTCCAATTTGTAAAAAAAAAAATCATATTCACCATAAGATGTTCACAAAAACATGCAGCATAACAACTCTCAATCGAGTCACAGTATATATAATAAGTTAGATTTATATTCTGTGTTCTGTGGCCGAGTTTAGCGGACTGGCAGAAGCGACATCGAGAATGTGAAAGGATATTTTTGCATAAACACAAAACTTCCCGAGAACCTTTTGATATTACCGACATGGAATAGAGCCTACGCCAATATCCACGAGACAACACCAATATTGGCCATTACTCGCTCTACACTCTCGTATTGGGCAATATTGGCGTAATTTTGGTAGGAATGTGGATAAAGTTTTGGCCTAACCTTTGCAAAATAAAGAATTCAAAATAAAAGCTTTTAATTAAACATGAATGTGAATCACTTACGATAAAAAGTCACTAATTCTTTGTGATTGTTACCATGTACCTTGTTTTTAGCGAGTTTCCGATATTTCGGCACTGTTGCAAGCGCCATGATCACGCAGTAACTGAAGTAATTGCGGGTAGGTTGTTATTGGCAGACATGACACGACACCTTTTTGTTCAAAAAAAATGGCGTGTCGCGATCCGATACTGTAAGTGTTATGTGTCGAGAACGGTTTCGAGTGAATAGTGAGAATGTGAACAGTGTATCGAACGCAATAAAAGACTTCGTCGGAGGGTAGACCGATATGTCTGCCAATAACAGCCTACCCGCAATTACTTCAGTTACGGATAATAGAAATATCGGAAACTCGCTAAAAACAAGGTACATGGTAACAATCCCGTAAATAACTTATATTACTATAATGTTAGTGACCATGAAAGTTTAAAACAATATAAAGTCACTAATTCGTTGAAAGAATAGAGTTCATTATTGGATCATCCATTTATAATTTACCTAGCTAGGTGCTCTTCAAATCTGCTCGAAACCTTGAAAGTTATGCAACTGCGCCGGTCGTCTTGATCACAATAAGGTTATGAGATCCAACACAAAAGGCTAAGGTTAGAAACAAAGACATGTCTCGAAGACAATGCTTCGTTTATAGTACTAATGACAAATTCAATATAAAACAGAACAGGCGTATTCATCGTGAAATCGTATATTTTCCAAGATTTCTTATAGGTAACCTTAAAATGCTAAAGCACCTATCTATTTTATGTCTATTCAATAGGATTTCATAGGTAAGATGCTAAACGAATTTTCATTAAAAGTTAAATCAGACCTTGGAAATCACACTAATATTATATAGGCGAAAGTTTGTGAGTGTGTGTATGTTTGTTACTTCTTTACATCTAAACGGCTGGAGCGATTTTAATAAAATTTGGTGTGGAGTTAGCTGACATCCTGAATTAACACACAGGCTACGTTTTACTGCGGCAAAATATACCTAATAACCCGCAGGTTACATCGTGGGCACAGCTAGTGGTTATATAAAAGGATCTGCTACCTTGTTAAAAGTTTAACGAGTATAATGTTAGTTTATTATATTTTTATTTTTAAGCATTTAGCTGCCAGATGTTTAAAACTAAAGAAAATGTAAGTTTCTATGTACAGACAGAGGAATAAATTAAGTTACCAAAACTTACAAATTTCTCCAACTGATTTTGAGCTTTTTTTAAGCCTGATATAATATTCGCATTTTATTCTAAAATTTTACAGTTTGTGGTAAGTTGATACGTGGCTATCTGTACCTACCAATTTCTTCCCAGCAGACGAAATTGCGGCCACAATTTAAGTTGTAATAAAATAAAACACATTAATTAAACGCCTCCTTGAGCAGACTTTTGAATTAAAAAACTTAGTAATCACATCATTCTTTCGTACCATAACAATATTGCACCTGTTTGAAATACTTTTATTTTTATAGCTTTAATAAATAAGCTTCACTGTTGTAATCCACTTGCTTAAATTTAAAATGTTTTTTTTTCTGTAGGTATATAAGATTAAATTTTTGCCTATACTTTACTTAATAGGTATTTTTTAACATAAATGCAAATACCTGGTATAGGTTTTCCAAATTATATTACCCACCCACCTACTTACCCAGTTACTGTTATAAATATAACGGTCTATAACTATATAACTGTATAAAACTGTATAAACTATAAGTTTGAGCAATAATTATAGGCTAGTATTTAACAGCAAACCAAAAAACTGACATTTTGTATAAAAATTAGTTCCCAATCCGAAGCAAAAATACTTACTGCACAGCAAAACAGTCACCTCAAAATATTGTTATATTAGTTCCAATTTAAGTTCGTGATGCATCGCTATTTATTTAAAACTAAAGATTTTTTAAGAATGCATAGCTAATAATAACAACCTCACAACAAATATATTACATAATTTATAATGTGAGTATTTTGCGTCGAAGCCCTGGTTAGTTTTCCATGCAATCGGTACATTTGCTGCGCAATCAATATATTTGCTGTGCAATCAGTATATTTGATATGAAAATCATATTTCTGTACTATTAAAGAAGTTTTTTGTTACTACAGATTAGATGTATGTTTTTGGATAATTTTCAGCACTAGTTTTGTTCAACAAATGTTTTGTTTGCAGTAAAATAATTATTTTGATGTAAAAAGTATTTAATTGCTGTAAATAACTTTATGGGTAATAAGTTATTTGCTGTGCATTTAAAAATATCTCATAATAATATATTATATTTTTTAGAACACACGAAAAACTGTGTAAATACTTTTTGCTCAATGTAACATTTATTTTAGATAGGGACCGTCAAAACTTAAAATGCCGATTTAGGTGGACCGATAGATGTGTCCGGACGTGTATAATCAAATTCTGGAACAGCAAAATCATTTGGTTGCTATACGGATGATTTAAGTTTATGTTGACTTAAACTCCGTGCTTAGAACTGCTGCAAAAAATGGCTGTAAGGTACGAAATGCACAACACGAGTGCCAATGGAATTCGGGTAAACGACTAAGTGTAAATGAACGGACTCGAATACGCCCTTATTCGGGTAGTTTTCTTTTTGGTTACCCGACACTGTCTTACATCCCGTATTGCAGTATAAATATTGGTTCGGATGCCCGAATTTGAGTAATGTCTTTCGTGCACCCGAATACGGGCTAACGACCAAGTGTAATTGAGCCATAAGATGCAGTAAGCCTGGCATACACACAATAAATGCTCGTTATAGCAATAATGTTGAGATATTGTTTCAGTAAAAAATTATACTTAATTTCTGACAATTCCATTTCAAATGGTATTTCGTTAAACTAACCTCTTCGCCGTCAGAGAAGGTGTAGTTGTAGTGTTGCTTGGCCCTAGCCTTGACAGCGTCCGCGAAGTCGTCGAAGCGGTCTCCGGTGGGCAGCTTGAGGGACACACGCAGTAGGGCCTCGTAAGCCGCCCTGGCTGCGGCGTCGCGCTCATCGCCAGCCGCCCAGCCCGTCTCACCCCAGTACCCACCCTGAGTAACACAACATATTGTTATAAATATATTACTAGTAGTACAACTTATATAATGCCCATGCCATTACTAGCGGACCCGACAAAGTTGTCCTGCCCGCATTTAATAAGTACCGCCCTAAATAATCAGCTAATAATTTATTATTATAAATATTTATTACAACATAATATCTATATCTATTTATATATAATTCTTCTGTGAGTGTGTATGTCACTGAACTTCTCTTAAACGACTGGACCGATTTTGATGAAATTTTTTGTGTGTGTTCAAGGGGATCTGAACATGGTTTAGATTCACAATTTTGTCCGCTGGACAACCCCTATTTTTTTAGGGCGGTACGAAGTTCGCTGGGTCAGCTAGTACCTATATAAAAATCAATTGCTGTTCGTTAGTCTCGCTAAAACTCGAGAACGGCTGAACGGATTTATCTTATCTTGGTGTTGAAATGTTCGTGGAGGTCTAGGGAAGGTTTAAAAAGTGAGAATAATTCGATTAATTGCCGCAAAAGCTAGTTATATATATATATATATATATATATATATTATTAGCTGACCCAGCGAAATTCGTACCGCCACAAAAATAAGGGTTTGTGGTAGCAGGGTGAAAATTTATTTTTAATTCCGAATCATCAATCATTTATTGAATATTAGTTTTCCAAAAAAAAAGTATGAACCAACATTATCACTTAGGGTTATAAATATACACACAAAATTTCATAATAATCGGTCAAGCCGTTTTGGAGTAATTTTGTTACAAACACTGTGACATAACGAGAATTTTGTATATAAGATTAGTAAAGCCGACAGAAGTAATCATGTCAGAAAAATATGTTTTAAAAATCTAAAACCCGAGCGCTACTTATCGGGTAGAGTTGTTATTTTTTATGATTTGGCATCAAAAATAACTTATAATTCTTCACGCTTCTACCACCAACCTATTTTTATATCGGCAGTAAGTCTGTTGGGTCAACTAGGAGGTATTTATAAAGATTTGGACTTTTCTAATCTATTTCAAAATAAGAACAAAGCAAAGGAGGATCTAAGTCTATACTAGGAAATGGAGTTTGCAGGCAACGTTTTGTAAATATTGTAGGCCCTAACCACCAGGCTTATATTTATTTTCCGCATTTTAAAATGACTATAACATAAAATGTAGTTTACGGTAGTTAGGCTCAAATAAATAAACTCAAAATTACTAAGAATTTTAAATAAAGTACTTTATTTACTAAATTAACTATTAAATTCATAAGTAGACAATAAAGTTTTAAAAATCTTCCAATGAAATATCCGAACACTCAATAAAAGTCTTTGGGAGGTAGCTCGGCAAAGTAAATAAAAAATCAGTATTCCGACGACGCAGACCTGAAAAGGCTGCAAAACGTCAATAAATAAATAAAGTTCGGGCATTAACCCATTAAAACTAGTTTTATTTAATGAATGATGTGCGTGAAAACCTAAGAAACAAATATAAAATGACTGCTCTTTCAGATGGTAAAAATAAGTATCATCTAGATGCGAGGATAGCCTGTCAGTAAGGCGTGCACCATCAACCATACTGACCTTGCCGAATCATCAGTTTAACCCACCAATAATAAAAAAACAAGTGTGCTTATGACCACACTACTGTAGTGAAACTTCTTTAGCTCCATCTATATGTGTATATACAGAAACAATGAACCTTAAACTAAAAACCTTAAAAAATATAATATAATAACTAAAATATATTACTAAAAGGAGTCCCTTTAGGCAAGGTTCCGAAGATACTGGCAGCGTCCCCCCTTTGAATAGCTAGACTAATTCGTTGTCCGAGGTAGCTGCCAGCTCTTCGGTCTCCAGTGATGTCGACTAACCTTTTTGATATTTCCTTAAAAACCTCATAGCGCTAGGACCCCACGGACCAAGGGTCTCGACACCGAATGGGACAAAATCATATTCGGAGCATAGACCCCTATATTTGCATGCTTTTGCTTTTGCAGCCGCACCAGCTCTGTCGTTGGTTGGTAGATGGGAAGGGGCCAGCGTGTCTGAACAGGTTGCATCCCATACCAGTACCCAGCCCATCTTCCATGGAATCAAACTCATACCGTCCGGATATGTGTATATATATGTGTGTGTGTACAATGTATACATGTATGTGTACATATACATGACGGCGAACCCATAAGGTTGCGATCACCAGATACACCATTCTCTTCGTTCATTTTGTTGGGACACGAAATAACACCACAGACAGCTAATCAATATCTTCTTTAATGATTTAATAACTTTACTAATCACAAATATTCGCAGATTGATTGGTCTTTTTTTGATATGTCTTTCGTGAGAACACTCTAGCTTGCACGCGCTAACAAAACTGACTAATCGACGTACCCCCGCCCCGACGTAACAATGACATTGACGTATTGTGAGTTTGACAACTGACAGGCTGAATGTTCTCACGAGCGACATAGACATTGACGTTTCGCGAGTTTGACAAGTGACAGGCTGAATGCTGTCACGAGCGACATCTAACTAGCAGTGTAGATAACGTCTTGTTGTGGGTTACGCGTTGCGACACGGCCGTCCTGCGCCTTACACGTCCTCGTGTAAGTGTTCTGAAACAGAAATTATATCTGGGTACATATTTTTTGCTCGGCCATGCCTGACCACGCGAATCGAGGTCAGGTAACATAGTAGTCAGACATCGCTGAGACAGCGGCTTCACTTAACCAGTGGCATTACTTAGTCAGCGGCATCCCTTAACCAGGGGCATCACTTAACCAGCGGCATCTCTCAACCAGGGGCATCCCTTAACCAGGGGCATCACTTAACCAGCGGCATCCCTTAACCAGGGGCATCACTTAACCAGCGGCATCCCTTAACCAGGGGCATCACTTAACCAGCGGCATCCCTTAACCAGGGGCATCCCTTAACCAGGGGCATCACTTAACCAGCGGCATCCCTTAACCAGGGGCATCCCTTAACCAGGGGCATCACTTAACCAGTGTCTTATAGGAGTAACAAGAACTACGAATACGAACCTATTCTATCAACATCAAAATTTAATCAGTCTGGTTTAACATCAAATCACAAGTATCGGTCAAAGAACTAGTTAAGTTAGTGTCGTTTTCAACATCATCTTTGTCAGACTCAGGGATTTCACCTAGGGGCATCTTACGAAGCCTGTCGTGAGCGTATTTGTAAGTCCGGTTGTTATTCAGCGCCCTAAGCATATACCTATCGCCCTCTAGAACCTCAATGATACGAAAGGGACCGTTATACTTCGGATCGAGTTTGCACTGGTTGCGTTCTTCGTTTTGTAGAAGAACAAAATCGCCTATTGAAAATTTTCGGACTGCAGCTTTTGTGCTGTCAAATCTAGTTTTATCATATTCGGAATTTTTGTGCATAAGAGAAATAGCTCGCTCACGTACGGCATCAATATCAATCTCAGGTTCATTATCATTTGAAAACAAGAGCTCTAAGGGCCTAGATATCTTCCCGATTAATAGCTCAAGAGGACTTGATCTAGTGACTCTGTTAATCGTACAATTAAGAGCTAGCTAATTTCGACCGCGGTGAGCATGTTTTTGAGTGTGCTCATAACTCTCTCAACCTGCCCGTTAGCACGCGAACTACCTGTTGCAATTAAGTGTAGATCGATACAATGAGACAGGTAGAAGTCTTTAAATTCATTGCTAGCAAAACAGCGGCCCTGATCAGCTATGAGACGCTTAGGAGCACCAAACAAGGAAATGCTATGCTTAAGAGTCCTAATACTGTTTACAGAGTCAATGCGTAAAGTGTGTTGTAACAAAACAAATTTTGTAAAAGCGTCTGTCAAAACGAACACATATTCTTTTCCGTTCTTGCCGCTGAGTTTACCGGTTGCATCGACATGTAAAGTATGCCAAGGTATAGGGGTCTTGGGAATCGGATGCATCTCAGTTTGAGTTTGCCAGAGTGTGATTTGGATATTTTGCACGTCACACAGTTGTCAACAAATTTACGAACAAACTTCGACATATGATCAAACCAGTACATGTCATAAACCTTTTCCAATGTTTTTTTCCAACCTACATGCATGAGAGATTCATGGGCGGAGTTTATAACTGACCAGCGTAGAGCTCGGGGAACGATTGGAAGCCATCGAGACCGATTATTGCGCTTAACCTTTCGGTAAAGTACCCCAGATCTAATCTCATAAATCTTAGCAACTTCTTCGTCAATGCTATGGTCTTTGAGACTTTCAATCAGCTTTGTGATCTCAGGATCACGCTGCTGCTCGGCATGCAACCAGTTATCAGGCAAACTTGTAAGATCTACGCGTTTGTGCTCGATTTTATCGAAAGGTTCGATTGGGAGGGGGTTTCTGGACAAGAAATCGGCATGACACATGCGTTTTCCTTCTCTATAGACTATCTCAAAATCAAAGGCTTGTAAGAAAGCCCACCATCTATGCACACGCGGGGTAAGATCAACTTTATTGCGAGAAGACTTTACAGTCCGTTACTACGGTGAACCTATTTCCGTGTAAGTAATGCCGGAAGTGCTTGATAGCATTCACAACCGCGAGTGTCTCTAACTCATACGAGTGGTATTTAGACTCCGCAGCTGTAGTGCGCTCACTGAAATAGGCAACCACAAACTGTCTGCTGTCCTTGGTCTGCAACAATATAGCGCCATAACCAATGGCACTAGCGTCAGTGTGAAGTTTGATTGGGCAATCAGGGTCAAAAATCATTATTACCGGTTCTTTAGTCAGTATCTCAATAATTTCCTGCCTAATGATCTCATATTCGGGCTTCCACTCGATGTTACCCTTGCCGAGGCTAGTGAGAGTGTTAAGTGGAGCCATTTTTTGTGCGAAACCCGGTATGAACTTCCTGAAATAGGACGATAGACCTATGAACTGCCGCAATTGCGTAATGGTTTTAGGGGGAGGCAGGGCAACTAAGGCCTCAATCTTTCTGGGGTTTGGACGAATCTCACCGCAACTAACTACGTAGCCAAGGTACTCTA